CCGTGGCGTTAGCACGGGCATTATACTAGTCATATAAGCGTTCAACATTAATCAGTGGAGGAATCCCCTAACTACGACGACAGTGCGAATCGGCTCGGACCGGCACGGCCCGGGTAGGCTGTTGTGTTCATTGGCATGACACGACTGAGAGCCCGTAGGAACAAGAGTTGGGCACAACGGCCTGTTCGGCTGGTATTAAAGCTGACTGATAAGCTGACCTCAGCTGATTTGTTGTGAGAGAAAAATATTATAGATTCTAACTGATAAGTCGGCTGATAAATTCAAACGAACAGACCGTTGGGCAGGGCGGAGCTGCCCGTTTGGTCCTCTATATCGGAGAGGCATGGTTGGGAAGCCGGTAGGATCTACCATAAATGCACCATCGTTGGCGCGTCCCCATCACAAGGTTCATAAAGACGACGGGAGCTTACGCTCACCATTTTTCCCCTCTCACCTCATTCGACCATACACTGGTCGCAATTCTCGTCACGTTTTTTCTTGAGAAGACAGAGGTTAAACCTCCTTTTACTTTTCAAAGAAAAAAGTATAAACCTCCATTTCTCGTTTTTTTTGTTCCATTTTCACCAAACAGATCACTACTTTGAACAGAGTCTAATTTCCTAATAATATAAATATATGCTCAATAATGGAGACCGAGTCAAGAAATTCGGCATAGAGCCCCAGGACAGTGCACTTGCAGAGTGCCTTCGTGCGAACCTTTATTAAAAGTCTGTCAGGCGAGAGGCAGCATGCATGGTTGATGCACGGGCCAGCCCCAGGTGGGCTACACAAGCTATGGTCAAGCTATACAGCATGTGTTCGGCTTATAAGTCTAATTGCTTTGGCTTATCAGCTAACAAATAATATTTTTTCAATACAACCCAAAGGAACAGGCTGATACACTGCTAGCCCGAGGTGTTCAAGTGCAATGCAAGCGGCCGCCACGGGCACGGTGCCACGGGCTTGTGATTCGACGCGACAGGAAAGGAATCCACACTTTCCTACTGGCAACCTCGCCATGCATGCATATGCATAGCATGGCCTTATTTAGATCACCTCCAAATTCTAAGTTTTTTCACTTTTTCTTCGTCACATCAATTTTTGGACGTATACATGGAGCATTAAATATAGGTAAAAAAATAACTAATTACACAGTTTGGTTGTAAATCACGAGACGAATCTTTTGAGTCAAGTTAGTCCATAATCGGACAAAGTTTGTCAAATACAAACGAAACGTGCTACAGTGAGCAGATTGCAAAAATTTGCAATCTAAACGATGCCCATATCAACCGCCCGCCCGTCCCTGCAGACACGTTCACATGCACGCTAACGCTAGTAGGCGAAGAACAAGGCCTGAACAAAACAGAACAAAACAAAACGAAGCTAGCGGTAGTAGCAGCTTCAATTTGGTAACATGCATATGGCCGGCCTGGCCATGGCAAGCCAGAGTCCGGTCTAAATGGTGCAAGTGCTCGTGTTTGAAAATGTGACCCAGCAGAGCCGAGCTCGATTCAAATCATGTTTGTTTTGTCTGTACAGATGAACGCGGTGACCGAGACTCAGAATGTTGTTACGTTATCCTCAAAAGTTGCCATTGCCATTTGATCGAACACGTGCAGGGCGAGAGGCATGGACTCACCCACCTTGGCCAAGAGGCCGCCGCCGCCGCTGCCCTTCTCCGGCGCCATTGCAGGCCAGGAGGAAGAAGATGGGGAGGGAGAGGGAGAGGCGGAGGGAAGCGCAGGACCAAACCTCCCCGCCGCCGCCACCGAGACAGAGGACACGAACGAGAAGAAGCAGCACGTGGCGGCGCACTACGGGCGGAGCCGGTCTAAGACGGCGCGGGAGCAGGGCAAGAAGAAGCAGGAGGCGAGGATGAGCAAGTCGACCTCGAGCTGCGTCGTGGAGGCGGCAGGCGGCGGCGGCCGCGGAGAAGGAACAGTGCCTCCACCTCGCAGCAGTGGCCAGCCGCGCAGCCGCGACCCGCCATGTTCGCGCCGAGCTCAAGGCGCGTAGGGAACCATAACTTTGCTGGACGCCGCGCTGAGCAGCTGCTGCCTTTCCACCTCATCCCGAACCTCCTCGCCGTCGGTGCTGCTCGTGACCGGAGCCGCGGGCAGGCGCTGCTCCGCGCAGCCGCCGTCACCGGATCCGTGTTCGCCCGGCCTCGCCGTGCCGGCGCACGCCTCGTTCCCTTCGCGTCGCTCGTCACGGCGCCGTCGTGTCTTCGCCGACGCCACGCCCGTCCCCGCCACGACGTCCTGCTGGAGGCCCGCGTCGAGTTGTCACCACGGCGCCTCCCTGCTGCCCCGCACGTCAGCAGGCCGCCTTACCGCGCGCCCATGGAGAAGAAGGGAGCGGCGGGTGAGAGAGGAGGAGTCGGGAGGTGATTCCATCTCCACGCGCGAGCACACGAGGAGCTTCAGCGAGCCAGGCTGAGAAGAAACGAAGGTCCATCTCGTTTCCTGGGAGCCATGAGAGAGAGGGTGATTTGCACGGTTTGAGCCTGGCTCGCTAGTGGGCCTGAGGTACCAAACAGATGAAGTTGCACGTCAACCCTTACAAACACGCCCTACATGTTAAAATGGAGCAATACCCAGAAAGTTCTGAACAGAGCTGCGATTTTCAGGTGTTCAGACTCCATGCTATGTAAGTACAGTAGATGAGTGTTAGTTTGACGTTACAGGCTTGCAGCTGCGTTTAGTCCGCGAAATGAAATTTGTTGAATGTCACATCGGATATTTTGGGACGTCGGAAATGGTTTTTGGATATTAATAAAAAAAACTAATTACATAGCTCGTCTGGAAATTGCGAGACGAATTTATTAAGCATAATTAATCCATCATCAGCGCGGCTAGTGCTGTAGCACTTTATGGCTAATCATGGACTTAAAACATTCGTCTCGCGATTTTCAACTAAACTGTGTAATTAGTTTTTTTTCATCTATACTTAATACTCCATACATGTACCGCAAGATTTGATGTGATAGTTTAGGGTGAAAATTTTTGGAACTAAGGCCTCGTTTAGATTGCGTTTAGAAATCAGTATTCGACACTGTAGCACTTTCGTTTGTATTTGACAATTATTGTCCAATCATGGCCTAACTAGGCTCAAAAGATTCGTCTCGTAATTTACAATCAAACTATGTAATTAGTTATTTTTTTATCTACATTTAATACTTCATACATATGTCCAAAAATTTAATGTGATGAAGAGAGAGCGAAAAAACTTACGATGTAAACCAGGCCTTACTTGACAGCGAGACTGCGTTTATAAAGGAAGAGAAGAAGAGACCATGAGCATTGGCTGCACGTTGCATCGGCGGCGTCGCGTCGCCGGGTAGCGCCAACTCCTCCTCTGCGTTTATTAACAGACAGACGCAGTGACTGTGGCGACACAGTGCTGGCGACACACGGCTGAAATGGCAGCAGCAGCAACCTGGCGGATGGCAAAGCATTGGTCCATTGCACACAGACGTGACCTTGTGCGCTGCCGCAACCCGGCGGATGCCAAAGCATTTTGTTATTATTTATTTACTCGCATGCTCTCGCAGATCCATCATCCATCCATCCATTACTAACGTCCAGCAGCGTCGACGTGCCAGTTTTTACTATCAATCAAATCTACCTAACCCTAACGACTCCGCCGATAATTTTTTAATCTTGAACTGAAAACCCCTCTTTCCGCTACATTTTACTCTGAACTAAATACTACTACTACCCTTCACATTTTTACCGTCTTATTATATCGGCAAGTAAATGAATTCTTGTCTGAATTTATGTGGAAAGAGAAAAACAGCCTACCTTTTATTATACCAAAAAAAATCCCAACGTGCCGGGGGGCAGCCGGGCAGCTGCATCCACAGCGCGCCGCGCGCCCCTCGTTCTGTTCTCCTTGTCGAGGACGAGAACACACGCACACACGGAAGAAGCTACTTACAGCTTTCAGTCTTCTTCTTGCCCCGAGCACCCTCACTCGCAGAGTCGCCCTCTCGATTATCTGAGAGTCCAGCTCCAGCCGCAGCAGCAGTCCCCTTCCCCCTCCTCTATCAGGCGTTGCCTCCCGCAGATCCGAATTGGAATTTGGGCCTTCGTCTCCACACCACCAATCCGGTAAATACGCGGGCAATTCCCTCCTAGCTGCTTCAGAGTTTCTTGCGCTGTTCTCTCTCGCTCGCGCGCAAATTATTATGCTGGGAAAGATGGTATTCTTCCCCTTTGGTAGCTTTGAGCCCAAAAGGCCGAAGCTTTTGCGTTCTTCCCCACAAATATCTGGAGCCGCCGTAGCTTTTGTTTGGTATGGCCATGGGTTGAAATAAATAGTATGCGGGGATGCCCACCAATTGGCACGCTGCGCTTTCCATCCCTGCAGCTGCAAGAGGCCTTCTTTTTAGATCTGTGTTGTGCCTTCTTCCTCTTCCTGGTACCCTGTGATTGGAGTCAGGATTAGTGTTTAATGAAGCTCCTTTTCTTTGCCAACTTTTGGATGATGCTTACATCAGTTCGCGTGCTTCTTGGATAGGTTGCCTTCTTTGGGTTTGCTCGCAGCGCACACAAAGCCATTTTACTGCTGGGAGGCTGCCACTTTTAGCATCTCTGGCTCTTGAGTGATCTCCAAGGTATGCAGCCCCCCACTCCCTTGGAAGAAACGGAAATAAACAAAAAATGTTTTGGTTCTCGGTTGGTGGAGCAAGGAATTAACCACTCCGCATCCCTCCGTGATTTCTGAAGTTTTGATTAGAAATTTTATGAGGTTGCTTGATAAGAATTGTCTTTCCTTTTCTCTGATCTTTCAAATTGTTCGCTTCTCTCTGGTTTTGCTTGCCTCAGTCCGCTTGCAAGATCTGTATTCAGTTGACTTGTTCTTCTCAGTTGCTTTGATGAAATGAGAGAAGATTGGCATACGAAATGAAGTAGCAGTAGCACTACTCCCCACTCCCATTTTAGCCTGGACTGCGGCAGTTCATCTTGGTAGTTGAAGCATTCATTTCTTCAGTCGTAATGGATGATGGGATAGCTCGTAAGGCCGGTCCTTTGCCTGCTGCAAGAAAAGAAAGGGAAGTGATGGGGGAGTGCGAGGACGGCAAGGAGTACAGGTGCTGGGAGGAGCTGTTGCCGGACGCGCTGGGCCTCATCTTCCGCAACCTGCCGCTGCAGGAGGTGCTCACCGTCGTGCCGCGGGTGTGCAAGTCCTGGGGGCGGGTGGTCGCCGGCCCCTACTGCTGGCAGGAGATCGACATCGAGGAGTGGAGCCAGCAGCAGAGCAAGCCGGAGCAGATCGGCCGCATGGTCGAGCTACTCGCCGGCCGCAGCGGTGGCTCGTGCCGCCGGATCAGTGTCTCCGGGCTGCCCTGCGATCCGCTCTTCTCGTTCATCGGAGACAAGTAAGCGTGAAATCTGACAATGCTCTCTCTTTTTTTTGTGTTTCCGTTGATTTTGTCATCATTCCTGTGCGAAGTGAACATTTCTGCAAAATTCTTGTGATATTTATTTGCGTAGATAAGTAGATTAGAATTCTACGCTCATTTGTGTAGAGCAGCAGTTAGAATTCTACGTTCATTCTAAGCCTCTCCATCAGGTTCCGTTCCAGGCTGTCGGTTATCTCAGCGGTGCGAGCTGTGATAGGGTTTTTGTTGAAGATTTACTGAGGACAAGTCTGTCTATTTTGAATTTCTGAAGTGCAAATTCAGGTCCATTGATTTGTCCAGGCTGGCTTAGAGATCATTCTGATTGATTAGGAGGCTAGAAGTGGGCCTAGTCAAACTTTGAGATTTGGGGCTGGACTGCCGGAGCAAATAAAACCAGCTCTCGCAGAGAGTATGAATTCAATCTGCCGTTTTCTCAGTATGTTATGTCAGAAGGAAAATGGTAGATATGGAGCTTGCAGCATGATGCATTCCAAGGCATGCCTTAGTCTTGAATCTCACTTGTAGGATATGGATTCACTAAAGAAGTTGAGCAGTTGATATATACTGTTCTGAATTGTTTGCATGATTAACTAGGATTAGACATTTGTTTCCGAATTGAGCTTATATTCTCTGCCCATGCGCAATACTCCTACAAATTATTGGATTTGCAAGTACACGCACAACACACAAGTACTGGCACGCACATGCACACAGTCATACACTCATCAGACTCTCACAATTAAACCACGTCCCATTGCCTATTGGCAGGTCAGATCAGGTCATAAGCGTGGGTTCAGTCATCAGTTGGTCCGCATATTGTTGTAGTAGCTGTCATTCATTTCAGATTTTCCACTGACTGATCCTGCCGCATTTTGTTCATGTGTTCGCCGATCATCTACTAGTGCACGAGCCCTCCGGACCTTGGAGATTCCCAGGAGTGAGATCAGCGACTCGATCGTGGAAACCGTGGCGCCGCGGCTATCAAACGTCACTTTCCTAGACATCAGCAGCTGCACCAAGATCGGAGCCCGTGCCCTGGAGGCGTTCGGCAAGCACTGCAAGTCCCTGGTGGGGCTCCGGCGGGTGATGCACCCGATCGACCTGGTGGACAAGGTGTGCCAGCACGACGAGGCGCACGCCATCGCGTGCAGCATGCCCAAGCTCCGGCACCTGGAGATGGGGTACATGCTGATCGCGACGGAGGCGGTGCTGGAGATCCTGGGGCAGTGCCGCGACCTCAAGTTCCTGGACCTGCGCGGCTGCTGGACCGTGGACGACAAGTTCCTGCGGGAGCGCCACCCGGGGCTGCGCGTCCTGGGCCCGCGCGTCGACGACTGCTACGAGAACAGCTACTGGGAGGAGTGCTCCGACTACTCGGACGACTCCTCCATCTACTCGTGGGAGTTCATGGACGACGTCGACGACGACTACTACGCCATCGGCAGCGACGACGAGGCCATCTGGGACGACGGGCAGGGGCTGGAGAACCTCGAGGTGAGGTTCTACGGCGGCGGCTTCAGCGAGAGCTTCGCCGGCTTCGACTGGCCACCGTCGCCGTGAGAGCTGATGCGCTTGCGTTGACCATTTGCAGTTCTTGCTTCTACTGTGTGCGTGCGTGAGTCTTTGTGTGTTGTTCCCAAGCTTTGCTTGCAGATGTGTGCTGTGCTGCTCTAGTACTGTGCCTGCGACATCACTCCATCTTCCTCTAGCTTGCAGATATGTGAAGTGAACTGCTAATTGTACAATCTAGATGTAAACTCCGGTGTTTACATGAAGGAAATCAGCATGCTGCACCGGTGAGATTTCACCGATACCATCCCTGAGAGAGTATTAGGGTTGTATAATACTTGGATTGACCATCAATAGACATATTCAGTGTACATATATAGACCACAAGGGGAGCCACTAGGGGCAGGCCCATGGGCCGTATATCTACTGTCTAACACACCCCCACAGTCGGAACTGGGAGCACCGCGAACATTAAGACTGGACCTAAACTCTGTAAACACTGATGTCGGAAGTCCCTTGGTGAAGATGTCGGCATACTGCGAAGAGGTAGGGACATGCAAAGACACGAACTTCTCCAAGGGCAACTCGCTCACTAACAAAGTGAAGATCAATCTCAACATGTTTAGTACGTTGGTCTTTGCCGAATGGATTGGTGGAGAGATAAACAAAGATCGACGTTGTCACAATAGGCGATGGTGGCTCTGCGGAGAGGACAGTGAAGCTCACCAAATCGACGCAGCGACCAACAAGCCTCGGCGACACCATTTGCCACACCACGGTACTCGGCCTCACCACTTTCAACGAGACATCTTTGTTGCTCGACGCTTGGCGGACCATGAAATAAGATTGTCGCCAAGGAATACAAAGAAAGCGTAAGTCGAAGCGGCGAGTGTCTGGACATCTGCCCGGTCGACAAGAGTATGAGTATTGTAAGAGTGTCGGTGCATCTGAGAGAGGTGAAGGCCAAGATCCCGACTTCCCTGCAAGTATCTCGAGAATGCGCTTCATAGCGACAAGATGTGGTTCTCGGGATCATGCATGAACAAGCACACTGCTTTGACCGCAAAGGCAATATCTATCCGGACGAGTAAAGGTGAGGTATCGCAAGGCTCCGCAATATCATGGTAGTCTGTAGCATCATCGCTGGTGTTCCATCACCGACAATTTATGGTGAGTCTCCACAGAGTGGTGCAAGGCTTGCGCCACGCATGCCCATACATCGAATATCCAAAAGATAATCTTGTATTTGGGAGAGGAACACAGCAATCACCTCGGCGCTCCACCGAGATGCCCAAGAAGTGATGCAATGGACCCATATCGGTCATGGAGAATTTGGCGAAGAGCTGAAATAATCCGGTGAAGAAAACCTGACGACGAAGCTGTGAGCACAATGTCATCAACATAAAGCAGGAGATAAGCCACTTCACTGCCTCGATAGTATGTGAATAAAGAGGCATCCGACTTCGACTCAACAAATCCAATCGAAGTGAGAAAAGTGGCAAACCGAGTCGCCAAGCACAAGGAGCTGCTTTGACCCATAGAGTGACCGGTTGAGGAGCGAGACATGGTGCGGGTGTGATGAATCAACAAACCTCGAAGGTCGAGAGAAAAGATTACACTTGTCTCTGTAAGGTGACCATGAAGGAAGGCATTCTTCACATCGAAGTGGTGCATAGGCCATGAGCGAGAGAGAGCCAGCCGAGAACCACACGGATCAGTAAGAAGCTTGACAACAATTTGAATGTCTCATCATAATCAACGCCGGACGCCGAGTAAAAAACCGCGCAAAACCCATCGAGCCTTATAGCGATCGAAGTGTGCCATCCGCCTTGAACTTGTGTCGAAAGACCCACTTGCGATGACAATGTTGACGCCTTGAAGGCCGAGGCACCAAAGTCCAGTGTCATTGGCCTTGAGAGCGTCGCCGACCGGATCGCATGGTCGCACGCCGATTCGGATCAACAAGTGCGCATCAACGAGCAGACAGAGAGAGAGCAGAGCAAAGACCGAGGTTGAGGCGATCAACCGGTTGCACGGGCGGACTTCCTCGAAAAGCGCATGTTTGTTTGCTCGTTATACCGGCGTGATGGGCGAGTGGCGCTGGTGGAAACGAAGGCGCGGGTACCATCAAAGAACTGCGGTGCAGGGGCAGCGGTACCAGACGGAGCGCCGGCGCTACTGGCAGCAACCTGGGGCGGCGAATCCCCAGGGGCAGCAGAACCGGGGCTAGCTGGGGCGGCGTGGGCGCCGTGTGAGGCGCCGGAGTGCTGCGCGTGTGGCGGCCGTGAGGCGCCGGAGTGCCCGGGCGCCATGGCGGCAGCACTGGGACGGTGTATCCGCAGGGGCAGCAGCGCCGGGAGCATCACCTGCGACGGTCGGGGTACCTGCAGCAGCGACACTAGGCCCGATGGGCAAAGTGACAGTATCCTCATCGCTCAAAAAGGTTAGGGTGTTAGGATCAAGTGGAGATGTAGACATGTTGGCGAATGGAAAGGAGGACTCATCGAAGATGACATGTCTAGACACAATGATCCTATTTGAGTGAAGATCAAGACACCTATAACCTTTATGATCCTCGGAATACCCGAGAAAAACACAAAGAGAGTGGGCGAGGTGAGAACTTGTTTTCAAACAATGGAAGACAAGTTCGGATAACAAGCACACCCAAACACACGGAGATGATCGTAGGACGGGGAAGTGCCATAGAGCGCGAGGTAAGGTGTGCGGCCAGCTAAGGTTTTTGTGGGGTGACGGTTGAGAAGATATGTGGAGGTATGGAGAGCGTCCACCCGAGAAAGCGGGAGGTAAGCTAGCTCGAAAAAAAGAAGAGAACGAATAATATTATTGATCGTTCAAGAACGCGCTTTCGCACGACCGTTTTGTTGGGATGTGTAGGGGCACGACGACATGCGGAGAGTGGCGCCATGGGTGAGGAGGAAGGAGCGGGCCGAGGAGTTGTCGAACTTCATGGCCGTTGTCGACCGACTTGGACAGCCTTGATGTAGGCGCTAAACTGAGTGCGTGCAAAGGCGAAAAATCGGGACAACAGCTCAAATGTGTCAGATTTGAGGCGTAAGGGAAATGTCCAAGCATAGTGAGTGCAATCATCTAAAATAACAAGATAGTATTTATAACCCGAAGCACTCAAAATAGGAGATGTCCAAAGATCACAATGAATAAGATCAAAAGGTTTGGACGCACGACTGGATGACAAGCTAAAAGGAAGCCGTACATGACGACCTAATTGACAAGCATGACATAAAGGTTCAGTCGTGCACTTATTACATGAAATGACATTGGAACTAATAAGCTTGGACAAAGCATCAGACCCTAGGTGACCTAGTCGGCGATGCCATAGGGTAGACGTGGATGTAGAGGCGGCGAGGGCAGTGGTGCTGGTGGCAGGTGCAACAAAGAATGGGTAGAGGTCACCCGAACTGTTACATCTGGCGATCACGCTCCGTGTTTGAAGATCCTTCACAGAAAGTCCGAACGGATCAAACTCAATGGAACAATTGTTATCAATGGTAAAACGACGAACGGAAATTAGATTCTTAATAATGCCAGGAGCAACAAGAACATTAGAAAGAACTAGTGACCGACGCGGTGTGACAAAAGAGGAGGACCCGACGGAAGTAACGGGGAGGGACGCACCGTTACCGACAATAATCGATGAAGGATAAGAGGATGAGGGATAGGAGGAGGTGAGTATACCAGCGTTGTTTGCCATGTGTGAACCGGTACCGAGTCGATGTACCACTCGTTTGAAGGAGAGGGCACGTTCGGCGACATGGTCTTTGAAGTTGTCGATGAGGGAGCCTTGATTCCACGATCCGCCGACCATGGGGTCCCGGCGGCGCCGCCGCCGCTGCGCCATGGGCGAAGAAGGCACGCGCTTCCATAGCAAGAAAGCGGGTGGGACGCTTCGGCGCGCTACTCCGCAGCATCTTGCGGCGTAAAGCGAATTTCTTCTGGCTGCAGCGTGGAAGGCGAAGCTATTCTTTATTGCAGACGATAGATGGCGCCGGCAGGAGGGGAACGGCCGTAATCGAACCGAACCACCCCACCCCGGGTTGGGGATGGGGTTTAATGGTGGTGGAGGAGACAGCCGAGGGCATTGGCGGAAAGCCGCCCGACTGGGCCGCCGCCCGCACCGCCGGCGCTAGGGCTGCCATGCCCGCCGTTGCCGCCGCCGCCGCCGTTGCCGCTCTTGTTCTTGCCACGGCGTTGTTGTTGTTGTTGCGTTGCCGTCGTTGCCGCTGCGCGAAGAAGCGCGCACCGCCGCCGCCGATTGCCGCCGGGAGGCTGCTGCGAAGCGCCGCCGCCGGAGAGGTGTAGAGAGCGCGGAGAGGAGAGCGGATCGTCGGTAGCCGCGTCCTGAGATCAACCTCCTCGAGAAGGAGAAGGTTCAGCGCCTCGTTGAAGGTGGGGAAAGGGCGCCGGAGTTTCGAATGCGACATCATATGACGGAAGGTGCCATTGAGGCCGCGGATCGCAGCGTCATCACCGGCGTCCGGTCGCCGACGGATCGCCGAACTTCAGCGAGGGCGCCGCCATCGTCTCCAACCCGACGGCGATAGTCGGTGATGTTGAGGGCGCTCGCTTGAAGTTGCGGAACTTCGGCGGAGAGGAGGAGGCGCGTGATTCACGCCGCCCTAGGAATTCGTCGTCGAGGGCTTTCAGCGGCGCGAGCGAGGGCTCCTTGAGCATGACTGCTGCGCCGTAGATCGGCGTTGATGGTGGACGTAGATCCACGACAGCACGGTGCAGTCCATCTGCGCCCATGCGGATCGCGTGGGGTAGGCCTCATCGGAGAGGACGTGATCCGTCAGCGCGTACTTGCCGAGGACGACGAGGAAGACTTTGCGCCACCGATCGTAGTTGTTGGTGACGCGATCGAGGGTGATGGGGATCAGCACCTTGATGTTGACGACGGCGAGGGCTTGGGCGTGGACCGCGGCGTGCTTGGCCTCGAGCGCGTCGAGGGCCGCCTCGCGATCGGCCGCAGCCTTGGCGGCGGCGGCGGCGGCGCGCGCCACGCGCTCCTCCTC